AGAGTTATGTCAACAAAGTGCAAGCCAGGAAGAGTGGGTCTCTCAGTCCTGCTGGAAGACTGTTGCCAAACACACCATTGGAAAGCTCAAAGAAAGAAATGGTCATCAGTTCAGGGGCTCATTGTTGCTTTTCAGCCAGAGATCCCACCTGGGTCTTGGGCAGGCAGGACGTCACATCAGAGGACTGTCCCTTCCGAGAAACTCTTCCAAGAGCGTGGTTTCAGCTTGCTGACCTAGCTAAGTAGTCTGTCGTGGCTTCTGGGGAGAGTCATTGTGTGGTCAGCCCCCCTACAGGCAGGAATGACCTCCCAGCACTTCTGTGTGGCTGTCCCAGCATGACCAGTGATTGCTTGAGAGAGAGTTCAGATTATATATGAACATCCAAATGCACAGAGTCCGGGGTGATTATTGGCAACAACTAACCCAAAACAACAGCTTTTCTGTATAAAGGTTGTCATCTGACTGACCAGTGCTGCTTACATGTTAGCCTCTGCAAATTCTGTTAGTCCTGGCACTTAATGTACAGATATGTGGATGGATGGATGGATGGATGAGAGAGAGATTCAGTGGGTTGTAATTATGTGCCTGGTGTGGTGCTTGGTGTAAGATACAAAGTTGAGTAAGGCTTGGTTCTTATCTTCTAGGATCTGTCTAGGGAAGCAGACAGACCAGTAAATCCAGGAGGAAGGTGTCTGTATTTGTTTAGGTCTCCCAGAGGCTGACTTGGCCATGGGGTTTTGAGAACAAGTTGTTCGGAATAGGATCCTAAGAGACACATGTCGGGAGTAGGGATGTGACCCAGGGAAGGAAGGAAGCCAGCTAAGGGTGTGTTATTAAGCTGATTACTACTGTGGGCAGTGGGAGCTCAGTGCTGCGGGAGCTGGGAAGTAGTATGGAACCCGCATCCCGTCGCGGTTGGTGGGAGGGGCGGTAGCTCACGAGCATCTCGGGCTGCCTCTGCAGGAGTGACCTGGATAGAGCCCTAAGACAGCCTCAGGTGTTCATGGGTGCTCAGAGCTCAGGAAACGTGGGCAGAGCACAGGCAAAGTCTGCCACAGGTGGGAAATTCCAGGGAGGCAGGGTGGGTGCTGGAGCTGGGTTTGGAGGCCCCTGCCCTTGCAGACTTGAAGTCAGGTGGTGACAGTGCTGGCAAGAAAAGTCAGACAGGAGGGGCAGAAGGGATGGGGTGGGAAAAGAGTGTCAGTGGGGAAAGGACACTTGGAAGAGGTTACTGAGCAGAGGTAAAAGAGTTTTCCAGGGAGAAGAAAGGGCATGGGGAAGGCCTTCCCCGAGAACTTTGGGAAGGCTGTTGTGGCTGAGACAGAGTGACAGAGCAGGGAACCGAGAACCTCCTCCTCCTCTAACTCCTCCTCCTCCTCCTCATCTGTTTAAGGACTGGGTCTTCTCTCTGCCACATGGGAAGCCAGTGAAACCAGGAGAGATGGGATCCCTCTGGCCAGCAGCCTGCAGGGGTGGGTTGGGAGGGGGGAGACCAGCAGAGCCACCGCCCTAGTGCCGCCAGAGGTGGGGCCCTGGGAACAGGGCAGATCATGGATGTAAGTGGAACTGGACTGGCTGTGAGCTGTGGATAGGTTTGCCAGTGGTGACTTCAAGAGACATGAAACAAATCAACATACCTGTAAATGAATACTGACCAGTTGCCACGTGAGCTGTTGAGGAAAAGCCTGGGGTACTATGAAGGCAAGTAGCAGGGCATCTTTGGGCAGGGGGTTTGCTGAAGAAATAGTGATTATGCTGGGACCTGGAGGATGGGGAGGAGACAGGCAAGGGGTGGTGGGCCCAGGAGGGCTGGCGTCATTGCAATACAAAGGTGGTGCTGACCGTGGCCTAGAGGGCGAGGCTGTCACAGCATCTGGTCCCAGCCTGGCCCATGGCCTGCCTGGGAGTCCTGTGTGGTCCTCTCAGGCCTCTCCTGCCCCAGTGATGCAGCTGCTAGGGTACCCACTGGCTGACTCCTCCAACCCCATTATTTTATTTATCAGACCCAGATTGAGAGTGGGGCTTGCCCAAAGACAGGCCCAAACTGCTGAGGTTATGAGGGTGTGGACTTTTCTACCATAGAAGAGCTGTTTTTGAAAACTCAGTGTTGGAGATGGCTCTGTGTCCTTTGGTAGTAAGGCCTGCAGGTGGCAGTGTAGAGATAGGTCAAGAAGCCTGTTCTGCAGGGGAAACGGGAGAAAGACTGCTTTCGTGGGAAAGACTGCAATAAGATGCCCTGCCGCTCTTATCTCAGGACTGGCTCAGACTGGGGGATGTCTACTCTCACCCTCTGATGAGAATGTGATCAGTATGGCCAGCCTGGCCTGCTCCGGACCCCACACTCTGGCCAGTCCCCTTCTCAATCAACCGCCTGCTCTACCAGCTGCAGAAAACTCAACTCTGCTTCCAGCTAAAAAGAATCTGCCCACGCAGGGCAGGGAGCCTGTGCCTTCCTGTCCAGCTCCAGCTTTACCTTCTGGGAGCAGGAGTCTCTTCCACCGATGTTCCTCCCAAACCTCGTGGACTGATTTCAGACCTGATTCCAAGATCATATTGCAGATGGGTTCAGAAGTCCTTGAATGCCAAAATGCTTTTGTCTTTATATCCCTTTAGGCTGACATAACTAAACTAAGGTCACAGCACAAGACTCACAAAGCCATTGTTATGTTGTGGTCTGCAGTAACGGCAGTGGACTCATCGTGTGTGAAGAGCTCTCTTTCCACTCTGGAGGCCCATTGCTTGCATTAGCCCACACTCCCTGTCTATGCTGATGATGCGTCAAAGGAGGAAGGGATGGTGGCTGTTAATGCCACACGAGTCAGGGATAGCTGGTTAGAGCCACATGCTACAGGTGGAAGTGGGCAGTCATCAGTACTATGAGTAGCAACTTCACCCAGGTGGAAATACCTTTCTACTGTTCAAAGCACCTCACATCAGTGAGTCAGTTGTGTTTGGGGTTTTTCAGATGATATTGTGAAGTTCCTGAGAAAATAAAATTAGTCTCTTTGTGCCTCTTACTGATAACTTTTTTCTTCTTATAAATCAGAAGAGCAGAAGAGTGGTGTAGTTGGTATTCTCATCCCAAACTTGGACTTCCTGGTTATTCTTTTACATTTAGACACAGACTAGAAAGTTTCTCGACTTGGAGTCATTCCTAAGGCAGATGACTGGAGGACTGGGCTGGTCTTGTAGTTGACTGGGCCCCAATGGAAACTTGGTTGAGTCCTGGTTCTTTCTCCACAAGTCTGTCTTAAAACCCCTTCCATCCTCTGCCAAAGTGGGAGGACAGTTTATGTACCATTGCAGTTCGTGTTCCATCTTTATAGAACTTCAGTGTTTCCAATGACCCCAAGTTCACAGGTGTTTCCCATCATGCACTGCCAATAGAGGTAGGGCACAGCCATATTAAATACTTTCAGCCATGAAGCAAAAATGTCAAGACCCTCTGTCCCCCATGTTTTAATGTCTCTGCTGAAATAGGTGTGCTCATGAAATCCTATCCCTATACCAATGAGTTATTTTTATTAGAGAAGAGCATTGCCCAACAGCACAGCATCTGAGATGCACATTCAGGCTTTTTTTTTTATTATCCATTCAACCAAAGTGTGAAGTGTGTATCCTGGGCTAAGCTCAGCTCTGTGTTAGGGTTGGGAGCCCAGAGACAGCTGGCAGGGGTTCTTCTGCTAATGCAGTCTCTCCAACAGAGCCTGGTACAAGGGGACTCACTCAGTAATTGTGGGGTGAAGGGCTGCTGGTGCTCAAAGAGGGAGGATAGACAATTCCTCGTAAGCCTTCTCTGCTGCTAAAGGAAAAACTGCAAATCCCACATTTTCCCCAAGAGCTGAGAACCGGTCTTGCCAAAGCTTTGAGCCATACCAAAGGCCCCCAAATGCCTTCCATACCTCCTTTGCCATTTTCTTGGTAACCACAAAGGTGTCGACTTGAGTGATACCCTGGCAACTGCTCCAAAGCTCAGAACTATACTTAGAGTCAGGTCTGCTGCATTGGGGAGGAAGGTGCACCCTCACATTAAGAAGGTATCCAGAGCAAGCATCTGTCCTTGGGCTTAGGGCTATGGCTGGGGAGGCTTAGCCAGCCCCTAGGACCCCAGCCCTGTCAGCAGCTGATGTGTCCTGCGTCCAGCTCCCTCATTGTCAGGTAAATGTCCATAATGCAGAGTGTGGTGGTGGGATTCTCCACCCACCGTAGGCTTCTCCAGTTCCTCCAGGGGCTCCTTTGTTGACTGTCCCTTTGACACAGGACTCTTACTCCCCTGTGAGAGTCAGAGGGTGTGGTTCCCTCCAGGGCCTTTGTGTGGCATGAGTCTAGTTTATAAAACCTCCTTTTGGTAGCTCACCCGTCCTTGACGAGGTATTCTTCAGGCTCAAAGGCACTGTGTGTTTCACGTGAAACAGATTCTCATATATATCACCATTTTTTTTTTAGTGAGTTCAGCTCCTGATTTAAAAAAACACACCCTGTTCTTCTTAGCGTACATTTGGATGTAGCGATAAATCATCCCCACAGCTTGCCATTTAAGTAGTTCCTCTCCAGAGGACGTTCTTCTCCCTTTTTGCTGGATACTAGTTTCCTTATTCAGATTAACTTTAAATTGAAAATCTACAAATAAGAAAAACATCAACCCACAGTTTATTTCCTTTATTATGTTATCAGTCCTGAAGCATTCTTTTCCCCCAAGAAGTTAAATTTTACATATCAGAATTAAAATACACCTGCCCTCGGCAGACTCCCAGGACTCGACTCTTGGTTAACTATATAAAGATTTGTCTTGTGATAGGTGAGGACAATTTTTTGCTACTTTGCAGACATTCCCTTTAGGTGAGTATAGCCACTGATGTATGAGCAGGTATTAAGTGTCACCCTCAAATTCCTTTTCTTGCTCCATCCCACCTCCCACCTGCAAGCCAGCATCAAGCTTAGTTACAAGCTTTCCCTGGAAAAATGACTGATTGCTTTTCACCTTTGTGCTTGTTGTTCAGAAAGCCAAGCTTGGCCCTGCTGGTAACAAAGTAATCAGCCCTTCTGAAGACAGGAGACCACCTTCCAACAACCTGGACAGAGTGAAACTCACCGACTTCAATTTCCTCATGGTGCTGGGGAAAGGGAGTTTTGGAAAGGTAAGAAGACAATTGTCTGTGAAGTGAAAGGGCGTTTGTGGAGCATGTTGGATCAATTTAGTCCTCCCTGAGGTTTCCAGAACAGTCCTTTAGATTTTCCTGCTATCTGTTCACATTGCTCAGATGTTTCCTATTTCATTTCATTAAAAACAACTGTATCCAAGAAGCTACAGCAGGTTCACTGTGTATTACCATTTCACAGTGTTCAGAACAGAAGGGCGTTCTAAAATGTTGGCTGAATGAATAGTTTTCACAACTAAACACTAAATGTTGACTTGTAGTAAGCAATGTAATCATTAAGAGATACTGAAATGGGGTCTTCAGCTTACGGGGTCTTGTCTTCCTTCTGTGGTCTCAAATCTCATGTTAGGTCCAGGAACTGATTTCGATCTTACCTTTTTCTTTGTCTGGGTCCCTGACTTGTGAGATTATAAAGGCCAGTCACATTTTACTCTAAGAATATTCCTGGAAAATGCACATAATTCCAGACTAATCTAGATATAGAACGCTGAATGTTCCTTTTCACGACCAAAATAGCGCCATCATGTGGCAACAGCCTCCGCAGTGTGCAAATCTTGATAGCTTAGGCATTGTACAAATGGTGGAAGAATTCAATTTGTGATGACATGCAATATTTCAAAATTTGCACAGTTTTTAGTATTTTATGTCACATATTTAAAAATTTGCATGAACTGTTGCTGAACTGTCCCCTGGCCTGGTTCCTCCCCACATCTCCACTCCCAGGACCAGATGATGCTTAGAGTGTTCAGGTCGTTCTTGGTCTGTCCTTAGGTGATGCTTGCCGACAGGAAGGGGACAGAGGAGCTGTATGCAATCAAAATCCTGAAGAAAGATGTGGTGATTCAGGATGATGACGTGGAGTGCACCATGGTGGAAAAGCGAGTCTTGGCTCTGCTGGACAAGCCTCCGTTCCTGACACAGCTGCACTCCTGCTTCCAGACAGTGGTGAGGACCCCAGGGGTGTATCTCCCAGCGTGCTCTCAGGACTCCACCTGGACCAAGGCGTCTCAGCATCCGTGATCCTGTGGGGAAGGCTAGAGAAAGGCATAGCGTAATGGCAGGCAGAGGTGACCAGGGACAACCTCTCACCCCTCTGCTGCTGGTAGATTTGGGACGTCCCCTCTCTGTGATGTTCTCTGCTTAGAGGCTTGACATTCATGCCATTTAATTCAGCATAGTGGGGAAGGCTAGAGAAAGGCATAGCGTAATGGCAGGCAGAGGTGACCAGGGACAACCTCTCACCCCTCTGCTGCTGGTAGATTTGGGACGTCCCCTCTCTGTGATGTTCTCTGCTTAGAGGCTTGACATTCATGCCATTTAATTCAGCATACAATTATATGAAAGTTTCTTCATGCTGGGCATTGGACTAAGACTTGGGGATACAAATACAATAAAACAGCTCATAGTCCTGGCTGCTTGAGACTGCGGGTTTAGCTGCCAAGCATGGCACTGGAACATTAGGAGACTCGATTTTGTAAAAGACTGTGTTAGTGTTTAATGCCACACAACAGAGGTTGGCTAACTGTGGCCTGTTTTGTAAGGTCCATGAACTCTAAGAAAGGTCAAAAAAGATCCAAAGAATAACATTTCATGACATCAAGAATCACTAGGTAAAATGAAACAAGTGGCCAATGTGAATTCTTTACTCCGTCCCTAGCTTAGAAATGTATTATGTGTATAGGAAAAAAGGAGGAATGTTTGAGGCCATTGCTAATGTTCGAGGGAACATATGTAACCAGAAGGGTCAGACACGTTGGCAGAGAGCCATTATTTCAGAGTTACGTAATGACTTTATATATATGTCCCAGGCTCTCATGGAAGAGGGTTTATAATACTTATTCTTTCTTTGGAAAAAACAATTTTGAAGACTTCTAGTCTGAGCAGATTTGCCAGTGCAGCCTACATTTCACTAGTAAGAAAGTAACACTTAACCTGTGAAGAGTAAAAGAGCCACTTTGGGGGGAGGAGCCCTACTGACATGTTGAACCTTGGTCTGCAGGACCGGCTGTACTTCGTCATGGAGTACGTCAATGGTGGGGACCTCATGTACCATATTCAGCAAGTAGGAAAATTTAAGGAACCACAAGCAGTGTGAGTATTTTTTTTTTAAGTCCCTTAACTTTAGACAACCCAGTACTCCCAACAGGGAACTTCTGCTGGGTGAAATGTCAAGGACGGACTCTGCTCATTTGGGGTTCAGCTCTGTTACTTCCAGGGGGTGGGGGCAAATCTATTGGCAGGATCCATCTAGATGTTTCCTAAGGAACAATTTTTTCTGTTTCCAGTAAGCTGGAGTTTCTGATGTATTCCCTCATCTCCCGGCTCTGTCCGCGTGGATGGAATTGTTCATTCATTTATTAAACATGTGGTTATTGCACACCTTCTACGCTCCAGGCACTGGGAGTACAAGAGGACTGAGGTTCTGCCTGCCCTCAGGGAGCTCATGCTCTAACTGGGAGTTGGAGAAGTCGCTTAACAATTATGACACGTTGCCGTAACCATAGAGGCATACACAGGATACCACACAAGCCCCCAAAAGTCAGGCAGTGAGAGAAACATGTCCTCAGGGAATGCCCCACCCAGAGTGGATGAGGAGCCTTCCAACAAGAGGATGTGAAAAGATGCAGGAGCAAGTCCAGGGAGTGGCCTGCAGCTCAGCATGCGCAGGAGATGATGTGAAATTGGTGGTGGAGTGGGGAAGACAGGAACTTGGGTGAAGAGCCTGGTGGTGGGCCTGGCTGAGGAAAAGGAAAGGGGCTTCGGTGGGACTTGGCACCGTCAGATTAAGTTTTCACAGAACCCTCTGGCTGTGGGAAGAAGGAAGGATGGGCGGGGATGCAGGGGCTGGTGCTAGCAGGTGGGCGACAGTCTTTATACAGGAGGAGTGGAGCTGTACTTAGGGCTTGACCTTGGAGCCAGAGAGCAGTAAGTATCTCTGAGACACATTCTGAAGGAAGAAAGCAGAACTTGCTGACTGGGGGTGAGATGAGAGAAGCTTCTTCAAACGATGCCTCACGTTAGGTTTGGGTGGGGCAGCCAACAAGAAGGAGGTGGTTTTGTGGGAGAATTGTGAGCTCAGTTTGAAACATTTCATTGGCGTGCACCTTGGATGCTGGAATCCAGGCATTGGCAGCACAGGGAAGAGATGTAGGCTCCAGGTGAGGATGGAAGATTTATCCATCTGGGGCGGGCAGGCGGTGGATTCTGATACTTGAAGCATCATGCCACATCTCCAGGGCCAGGAAGTCTCAGGAAACCCAGCAGAAGCGAGCCTAAACAAATGGTGGATTTGTTTTCCTAAATGAGGAGGCATAGCGGGCATATACCCTGATGAATTGAGTTAGCAAATGTCAATAGGATTCTGGCTGATGTTCAACCTAAAAGATACATTAAAAGAATTTTTGGCCTGTGTGGGATTATCCGCCCTACGGAAAATTAACTGAAGGTAGGATAGGAAATTCTTTGGTAGCAAACTTAAAAAATGTAAAGGGGGATTTTTTTTCTGCTTTTATTTTTACTCTTTAGTTTTCAGAAATGCCTGCCCTTATCCACTCTCTCATGTTGTTAGATTAAAGCATTATAATGATCGGATTGTAAAATAAAGCAATAAAGCTTGATAACATAGAGCTGTAAAGACTAAATAGCAAATAGGCACCTTATGTTATGAAGTAACATAAAGGTGTCTAGTCCAATACCCTTTCATTATATTTGTGTTGCAGAACAGTTTTTTAAAGATACAGAAAAACATGAAAAGTGATGTAAAAATCACCTGTAATCCCATCTCTTCTCCCTTTGCCATCCCATCCTGTCCCGCCAGCCGTCAGAAGTAGGCCCCCCCCCCCC